TTGTTTTTTTTTGAAAATATTAACTGTTGGTTTTCACTTTATCTTAAACAATAAATATAGAGGTAAGTATTCTTGTCATTATTATTACATCCAATATTATTCTTGAAAAATATTAACTGTTGATTTTCATTTATTTTAAATAATAAATAAAAGGTAAGTATTTTTATTATTTACTACCATTACCATTGTTTTTGTAAACATATTAACTGTTGATTGATTTTCATTTTATTTTATTTTAAATAATAAATAGGCAAGTATTTTTATTGTTTACTATTATTACAGCTTGAAAAATATTAACTGTTTGATTTTCAATTTGTTTTAAATAATAAATAGGCAAGTATTCTCATCATTTACCATTATTACAGTCAATTTTTTTGAAAAAATATTAACTGTTGATTGATTTTCATTTTATTTTAAATAGAAAATAGAGTAAATAGGCTGTATTGCTCTTTGGCTCTTTGATAACTTCATTTATCTCTAACTTTTTTTACTTCATCTTATATTTATCTTTATTTTACGTTGCTTAAGATTCATGCAAATTATAATGTTTATATTATAACATAGAAGTAAAAATAAAATAAAACAATTCATATACAATAAGTGTTTATTATAATTTGAAAAGATTTATATGTGTCAATTTAAATGGGAATGATTAATAAAGTTACATCCAGTGTGTGAAATTGAGTGCAGGCACACGTGTTACATTAAAGGTAGCCAATAATCTATTAGCAGGATTTGTGCAGAAAATTCACCGCAACATATCAAAAAAAAAATTATATTAATAAATATTTACTTATTAACAAACATACTTTCTTCTTTTCTTCTTATTTATTATTCTAATTGTATAATGTGTTTCTAATAGAAAGATTTATCTTCAATTGAAAAGATTCGCTTGCAGATTCTGTGGCTTATTACACTGTATTAAGATTATTTTTCATACTTGATCAGATGATAACTTGGAATTGGTGAATAAATATTGTATTTTTTATATATATTTACTGCGTACTGCTGATCTTATTATTATATTCTTGATGATTTAACTTGAACAAAAATCAAACAAAAATCATTGTATTTTTTATATTTAACTGTTTTACATAACATTGTTTTTTATTAGATGCTATCTTATATTTTTAGATGATATCAAGCTTCAATTAAAGAGTTAGCAGATAAATATGAGGCGAAGACTACAATATTATTAATTGCTTTACATGTTCATACTATACATGAAGTTGAAATGGTTGAAATTATGTCATATCCAATAATCCAACTTTAATGAAACATGGCTTATTAGAATAGCATCATAAAGGTAATATAATGGTGTTTTAATTTTCATAACAATATACAGTAAACAAAAATATCTCAATAATTAGGGATTAGAATTTTATGAATTAGACACCTCATTGAGAGAATTCAAATGGCAGTTTTTTTTTATCCAAAACAGCCATATATTGACTGAGTTATGGTAATTTCAGTTAATTTGATACGTTTTTTCTCATGGCAATAAAAAATTATTATTATTATATTGCTTTATAATTTTTTCCATAAAAATTCCGTATACTTTATACACTCACCTGCCATTGGCAATTTTGCAGATCGCTGGAAATAATTGAACAAAGTGAAATAAAAATAACTCAAAATTTTATTATCACAATCACTTTTGTGTATTAAGCGAAAATCAATTTTCATAGTGATTCCCATAACATACTTGAGTTTTATAATGTTTTGTTTACAATTGATAATTTTATTAGCTTTAAAAGTCAAAGTAAAAAATTTTCGAAATTTTCAATTGATAACAAAACCTAATTGCCAAGTTTTAACATGTCTAGATAGCATAATAGAAAATGTGCGCCATGATTTGATATATATATATATATATATTGGTAGAATAATAGGTAATACAAACATTCATCAAAATTGTTTTTAGATCTTCACGTTGTTTTTCGCAAAAAATCATATATTTAAATCAGATGACTAAAATTAGAGAATTATCTGTTGTTGAGCGCGCAGAGGTAATTGGTGCTTGGAAATGTGACGTAAGCAAGACAGAAATAAGCAAAAGACTTGGGATACCATCGAGAACAATATATAATATTATAGAAAAATACAATAAAGAAGGAACTGTTGAAAATGATTGAAAATGATAAGAGAAGTGGGAGACCCAAGTCACTTTCAGATAGAGATAAATGTGCTTTAGTGAAAGTTGTCCGAAAAAATAGGAAAAATGCAGTAGAAGATTATAAAAACGAAATAAATAAGGTTCTCTCAAGGCCTGTAAGTACAAGAACAGTGCAAAGAAATTTACATGAAATGGGTTATTATGCGCGTGCAGGAAAAAGAAAGCCTTTAATATCAGAAATAAATAGAAAAAAACGTTGTCATTTTGTGAGATGTTGTAAAGATTGGTTAGAATGGAATGAAGTCATATTCAGTGATGAATCAAGATTCAATGTATTTGACAATGACTCCCAAAACTGGGTTTGGAGACAACCCCATGAGAAATATAATATTGATTGTTTAGTACCTAAAGTTGCACACTCACCTGGAATAATGGTATGGGATGCTTTACTCGAGATCAAATTGGTCCACTAATACAAGTTGATGTTAGCATTACAGGTGAAGCATATGAAAAATACTCAAAGATCACTTATTACCTTTTATTCAATCTTTGGACTCTTCAAAGTTATGGGTATTTCAGGATGATAATGCTCAACCCCACAGAGCAGGGTTGAACAATTTAAACAAGATAATGATGTTCTTTCACTTCCTTGGCCACCCCAGAGTCCAGATTTAAATCCAATAGAAAATTTATGGGATGTAAATGAATTTTTGTTCTCGCGTAGCACAGCTCACATCACATTCCCAGTTGTAGACTTGTTATAAATTACAAATAAAACCAAATTATCCTCCCCTTCCCCTTTAATAATTAATAATTAATAAATTTCCTTGATAAATTTTTATTATTGAATTTATTGCTATTATAATACAAATTTTTTGGATGATTCCATTTTTTATTTAATCTATTTCTTACTATATTTGATCGATTTTCTTTATCATTAATGTTACATAATGTAATCACTTCTCTTTTATACCTTTTTGCAGTTTCATCACCTAATTCATCTGATTCTTTAATTCTGGTTAACAATAATCTAAAGTCTTTTAGTTTTGGTTTATGTTTATTTGATAAATTTTTTATTAATTTCATACTACTATGAATATTGTTGCTTCTATTATTATTAAAAAATTAATTAAATTAATTAAAAATCCATAATAATAATTCATAATAAAATTATCAAAATACTTGCTTTGCTGAAGTAATAATCATTATAGTATACAATTTGTACTCTAATTCCTCAGTAAGACCAATTCTTTCAAATTCCATTTTTTGTTGGTAAACGTTTTTAAAATCTTTAAAGATTCTCTCGCTTTCTTCCCGTGACCATCCAAGAAAATCGTTCCAGACATCCCATGCCAAAGAGAATCGATTATATTTGTAACAAGCATTTAACATATGTAAAAATATCCAACTACTTAACTCCACTTGATGTTTTGGTATTATTTCTTTATAAATCTTTAATAAACTATCAAAACTTGATTTGTTCTCAATTAAACTCATATAAGAACAAATTAATCGAGACGTTAATTTTGTATTATTGTTGTTGTTGTTGTTGTTGGACAGTATTTGTTTTGCTGATAATGATGACAACAAATAATTAAATATCATTTCGGCTTCTAAACGAGTTTGTAAATGTGATGTTGGAATAGTGGAGAATATTGGATACTCATCTTTTCCAATAACCAATATTTTATTATTTTTAAATTTTTTCATTGTGTTTTCAGATGTAATTTCAGATTTTGATAAACTATCATCATCATTATCACCATCATTATCATCCTCTCCTGTTAAAACATTCTCATTTTTGTTATTGCCAATGATATTGGAATTTTCAATAGAATTGTTACTGTTGTTTAATTCTTCTTGATAAGATGAATAAGTCCAGAATAAATTTGAAAAAGTTAATTCGTCAGGTGCTAATGATGGATCTTCCTTTGAGCTAATAAAATAAAATAATATTAAATATTTGTTTTAAAAAAATGTTTAATAATATTAATAATAATGCTTACCATAGTAATAATAATTACCTTTGAATTATTGATATAAATAAATTCCTAGCTAATTTTAAATCTTTATTTATAGCACATGCATACATTAAAGAATTATATGTAATCAGATCAGGCGAGCATCCATGTTCTTTCATTTCTTGAACTAAATCAAATGCCTTTCTATAATAATGTATTTTATTTTAATAAGCATAAGTTAAAAATAATAATACTTGTATTCAAATTGTATATAATTTTTTTCTTTATAAAAAAAGATATCTTTTCGTTTCGAACAAGCATCAATTAATGAATTATATGTAATTCCAGTAAGTTTTAGTCCTTGTTCTAACATTTCTTTGTATAAATCAAAGGCTTTTTCTGCGTTTTTTTCCTTTTTTGATATATTAATAAAACAATAATTCCATTAATAAGGAAGGGAGGAACGAAGGAAGGAAGGAGAATAATAGTAATTATCATTATCGTATAACTAATGATTAACTATTATTAATTACCTTTGCACAAGCATGAATCATTAAACTGTAGGTCATTTCATCAGGTTGACAAACTTCCAAACGCATATGTTCAAATATAATCCATGCACGTTTTAATTCATTATTATCAATACAACATTTAATTAGAATACTATAAATAGGCTTATTATTATCATCATTATTAAAACACGCGCAAATCACATTAATATTAAAACATGATTTCTTCTTCTATCTCACATAATATTAAAAAATTCTCTAACCTGATTTGGTATCAAATTCCCCATCTTTAATTTATTGAAAACTTCAAATACATCATTGATTCTTCTATGATATGCATAAGCTTTAATTAAATTCGCGTAACTGTATAATGTTGGCACAAATCCATCTAAATAAAAAAAATGATATATACATTAACTTTATAAATACTATCTGTATTCAAATAAATTTAATAAATATAATACTTTTTTCAATTTGATCAAAAATTTCAATCGCTCGATCTAGATTTCCGATATTTGAATAATGATTTAAAAGGTGATCATATATTATAAGATCTGGTGACAGTGCAGATTTCTAAATAAAAAAAGAAATAAGTGATTGATTGTTGTTAAAAATCAATTTTTGGCATTGTTTTATCTAACCTTTTCCAGTCTTTTTATAATCTCTGGATCATATAGATTTTTGAACATTGCCTAAATAATTATTATTGATATTAAAAATGCTATTTTAAATATTATTCTTTCAAAAAATGCACTTGTGTATATTTACATCATTGTTCTTTATTATTGTCTTATTTTGGTTTAATAAATAATTTTCATCTTCTTCTTTTAAAGATTTTTTCTTTATAGTTGTTTTTAGATTGAAAATCTGATCAAAATCAATGGATGATTGATTGATGATATCTTCTGGATTATTTCTTTTTGTTATTATTAATGTTGAAGATGATGACTCTGGTTTTGTTATGGATTCCGATAAAATTTCATTTTCTTCATCGTTATTTCTTTTTCCCAATAATGAAATTTTATTTGAAGAAGTAATTGATCGATATATACTTTCATAGTCATCAATATTTGAAAACGGAATATATTCCGTCTAAATAAAATATTAATATGTATTGTCTAATGTAAGAAAAAATTTAATTAATAATAAATAGCAAAAAAAACCTTTGAAATATTTTGTTTATCAGATATAGGATTAGAAAGGCTTTTCTTGTTGATAAATGCAGATAATTCACACATTAAACCTTGTTCAAAATCAATGGATGATTGATTGATGATATCTTCTGGATTATTTCTTTTTGTTATTATTAATGTTGAAGATGATGACTCTGGTTTTGTTATGGATTCCGATAAAATTTCATTTTCTTCATCGTTATTTCTTTTTCCCAATAATGAAATTTTATTTGAAGAAGTAATTGATCGATATATACTTTCATAGTCATCAATATTTGAAAACGGAATATATTCCGTCTAAATAAAATATTAATATGTATTGTCTAATGTAAGAAAAAATTTAATTAATAATAAATAGCAAAAAAAACCTTTGAAATATTTTGTTTATCAGAAGTTGATATTTTTTCTTGTAATCTTTGAATATTTTGATCCAAAATCGATAATTTTTTTTCTAACCTAAAATAATCAATTAATTAATATTAAAATAATCATAATTATCAATTGATTGATTTATTGATTGATTTATTTATTACTTTTTACTAAATCTACTATTATATGATGAATACATTTGATTTTGTTGATGATAAAGAGTGCAATTTGAAGGTCTTGGTAAAATATAAAATAATGATTTTTTTTTTAATTTTAATGGTAATGACAAAAAAATCGTTTGAGATGTTGATTTTCTATATAATTTTGAAAGCATATTAAAAATATTAATTTTACAAAAAAATTTTTATCGATTTTTATTTTTCGTAGATTATCTATCGATGATTTCCTTCCAATAATAAACTCTTAATTTTAAAATCCGCTTTTAAAAAATGTATTGCCACAATACCAATATTAATTATATTGAAGATGATGATGATTATAAAACATTATACTCTTGCATTCTAGTTAATAAAAAAATGGCACAATTTCAATATTCCAACATCATGGAGAGGTCAATTTAATCCTGAAAATAGTATTTAAATATTAATTAATTGTTTATTGGTTGAAGACAAGAGCTTCTTGGTGGAACATGGGATTGGATTAATTTTTAAATTATTGAAGAAATCGTCTTTATAAATTTGTGGCTGAATTGGATTTTTGATCAAACGAGTTCATTGATAGAATCTGGCAAACTTGATTGTCTGGAAACAACTTTTTTTTTTTAGATTATTCATTACTCGAGAAACTTGCAACTGATTCAAATTACATATACAGGAGTGAAGTGATTAATTATCATATATTTGATCCTTGCTTTCAGAATCTTTATCAGTTAACTTGTCACTTTTTTAATTAACAAATATTTTTTGTAGAAATGTTCAAGATCTAACAATCATTTATGATAATGGTCTGGTGCAATTAATCTCATATATAGCACAAAATCAATTAAAAAATTATTACATGCAATTTTGATTTAATTTTTTTAGAATATTTTTAAAAAAAACATCAACTTATTATGTAAGTCATGAGAAAGTTAACGTGGATTCTTTTAATGCCAACATTTCAAAACTTGGAGATTTTATCGCTAATTGGTCCTCGCAATGATTTAGCCAAGGACAAAATATAAAATGTTTTACTTCCAAACCTTGAAGCTATGGCCATTTCTATTGGAATTGTTATATTTCATAAGAATCCACGGAAAACATCTTTAAAAAAAACCAACAGTCAGTGGTTTACCAAAGGATGGAATATTTTAAGAATACCAATTGAAACTCAAGATTGCAAAATCTCTGTTTTTTTATAGCAAGAAAGTACATGAGCAGTTAAATTTAAATACCATAATTTTTATGACTATATAATTCTTTTTGATGGAATTTAATGAAGAATTGGAGGGGACCTAAACCTTTTATAATAAAACTATTCAGTGATTACGGACCTTATTTGGAAGAGGAAAAGAACTTTATAATTCATTAAAAAATTAAAATTTTTAAACAAACTTTTTTAACAGTTGATAGAGATTAAATAAAAATTCATTGAAATCAAGATGTTTATATCGGACATGTATGTTTGCAAATGTTTTATATATTACTAAAACTCTTCAAAACGAGCACCCAACGAATTATAGTTGCAATGAATTTAATGCTTAGCGAAAACATAATCTCTTCCAAAAAATCTACATCTTTTTCATTGTTATTTCAAAACTCAATTAATCATTATTCTATCAGAAAAGAACGAATCAAGTTATTCGCACAACAAAAGGAGCGAGCTTATGTACAACATCATCTAAGCCGCCAATTAAATTAGTACGAGATACTCGTAATCATCCATTTGACTTTAAAAAAAATTTTTTGGTGAAGAAATTTATGGTTTGGATTTTGTTCAATCTGAAGGAAAATTATCATATATCACTATTACCAGTAAAGATACTGGGAAAAGAAAAGAAAGAAATATATAATTGATGCTAATGATTAATAGTAAATGATAAGATGATTATAATTAAACTACGAACTACTACTACTACTATTATTATTATTATTAGTGATTTTGTTGAAAATACAAAAACTGAAATTCACATTTATATAAAGCTCATTTATTTATTTTGAAAATAAAATAAAATTCTTATATATAACATTGTACATTGTTAAAAAATTAAGTCTTGGTAATTGATCCAATACATTTTTACCAAATATATTATTCTGGTCATAGAATCCTTAGCAGTTGATTTCCTCAGAGACATTATTACAACTGACAATGTGCAAAAACTGTAAATAAATATATTTAAAATTCTTATAAATGAATTAAATAATTGTATGATGATGAATGTGTTGTTAAATGATAGTAATAATCCTTATAATATAATAATATATTTGTTTGTTTATAATATTTTAAATCAAGCCTGCTTTTTCCATTTCCTACCAAAAAAAATTACACACACACATATATATATATTAGTGATATTATAATAATAATAATATTACTATTATATAAAAAAAAATTTTTTAACCACTAACTTCTCTTAAATGAACTCCAAGTTTAGCAGGACTTTTTGAAATAATAACACCAGCACTTTCCAATGCTTTAATTTTATCAGTTGCAGAGCCTTTACCACCAGCAATTATAGCTCCTGCATGACCCATACGACGTCCTGGCGGTGCAGTTAAACCAGCAATGAAAGAAACTACAGGTTTTGGTTGAGATTGAGACAAATTATGTTGTTTTAAAAATTCTGCTGCTTCTTCTTCAGCAGTACCGCCAATTTCTCCAATCAATATAATACCTATTACAAATAACAATAATGATGATGATGATGATGATATCATTTAATTTGAATTTTCATTCGGGGGGGGGGGGTTTAAAAAGAAATAAAACCTTTTGTTTCTTCGTCTTCTAAAAACAATTTTAAACAATCTACAAAATTTGTTCCATTAAATGGATCACCACCAATTCCAATACATAAAGTTTGTCCAAGATTCGCCTGAGTGGTTTGATTAACTGCTTCATATGTTAACGTACCGGATCTTGAAACAATTCCGACAACTCCTTTTTTGTGGATATGTCCGGGCATAATACCAATTTTACAAGCATCTGGCACTATGATTCCAGGACAATTAGGACCAATAAGACGTGTTTTATTTTGGTTTTTTAAAGCTTTAACAACCTATAAAAAATTTTTTTAAAAATTAAAATTTAAATAAGAAAAAAAAAAAAATCCAATTATACTTTTACAGTTATTACGTACTCGAACCATATCTTGCTGTGGAATTCCTTCCGTAATTGCTACCACCAAAGGAACTTCTGCCTTGATGGCATCTATAATAGCATTTGCAGCTGAAGGTGGGGGTACATAAATCACAGAAGCATCTGGTTTAACTTCACTAACTGCCTATCAAAAATATATAAATACACATAAACACATTTATTCAACATGATTATATGATTATATAAAGAATCAAATATATGTATATTTTTTTTTGAAAAATTTTTTTTTAACCTCGGCTATGGTATTAAATACAGGTCTTCCCAAATGTTTTTGACCACCTTTTTTTGGTGCTACTCCGCCAACTAAATTAGTTCCATAATCAATTGCTTGTTGTGAATGAAACGTTCCCTATCAAATCAATTGTTAAGATGTATAATAATATATTAAAGAAAATCAACTGTTAGTCAACTAATGCAATTAATTACTTGTTTTCCAGTAAAACCTTGACAAACAACTCTAGTGTTTTTTGTAAGTTTCATGTTTTTAATAGTATCATCATATGGTGAAGTTCTAATAGTGCTAATGGAAAAACTTTTTCGTAATTCCAAAAAGAATTTGGGCTTTATTGAACGTATTGATGGCTTTAAACTCATCATTTTCAACAATTTTTAATATTCAAGAAAAAAAAAAAAACTATATAGAAAAATCTTATCAAATTTTACGTTATACGAAATAGGCAATAAATAAATTAAAAAGGAAAATCTGTTGCCGATTATGTAGGAATAATAATAAGGTAACCGGAAATTTTTTGAGGCCTTCTAATTATAATTGTAGGCCAAAACTTCAAGGGCCAAATGAACCATTTAGAGGCTTAGTAATTAAAAGAAAGAAAACGTGGTTTAAATGATTAATTGGTTGGGATTGAAAACCTCATATCTAGAAATTGCTGAAATGATATATAGATAGATGTTGTTATATATGGATTTTATTTTTTGTGTAAAATAATGTTTTGCATTTACAGTATATAATTTATGATTTTATTTATTATGTTATTAAAATGATTAATCCTTATTTAATTTATTAATTTATAGATTTTTCAAGGAATCGGTAACTTCAATGTGTTGTCTATACAAAAAAAAAAATATTATAACATTTAATTAAAAAAAACTCACAACAAACAAAAAATACTATGATTGTTGTTGGAACGAACCTTTATTTTGCACAGCGTAAATAAATGACGCGATCATATCAACCTCTTTAACAGTTTGTGTTGCATAATGTCGAGTTACAGCTGCCACCAATTCTTCTTTTGTTGCGTAATCTCTAACCTTTAATTTATGGATTCTTTTATATCTACGTAATACTGAAATATCAAATGTGTTGAAATCTAACTTTGTTAATGTAATGGTAAATGAAGAAGAAATCTTATCAAACATCTATTATTTTGTCTCACTTTTGCTTCATAGTCAAATACTTACAGCTGGTACTTCTTTCCCAGGTTCTTTTCCTTTTGTTAGACGTTTAGGAAGAGCATCTGTTGAATTTGTTATATTACCATTTTTTGAAGCTGAATTATTATTATTACTGCTACTACTACTTACACCGCCTCCGCCACTATTACCATTCCCTCCTGCACCAGTTGTATTATTACTATGATTTGATGTAGATGTGTTGTTGTTGGTGGTGGTGGTTGTGATGGTGTTATTATTAGTCTTGGTTTTTGACGTTGCCATTTTTTTTTTTTTTTGAGTGTAATTTTTTTTTTATTCAATATGCCAATTTTTGTCGTAGTACAAATCAAAAAAATACATATATATTTGGGTTGGTGTTACATAGATAAATTTCGTAATTGATTGGTTGCTGTGGTTGATAATATACAATTAACCCCGCTTTGTTTGTTACATTATTACTACTATGACGTGCGAAACTTATACCACAATTCTGCACTACATCACCAAATTTCGCCTTTGGCATTCGCTCAAAAATGATGACTTTTAACAAAAAATCTTTGAAGTCATGTGACTTTTGAAATAAATTTATAAAGTATTTATTATCAACTTAATTATCAGGAATCTAATGCCAATGTAAAAAATTTCCTAATGGTTTAAAAATACGATCACAGTAAAATGATTTTTGATGCGATAAACTTTACAACCACTTTAAAAATAATCATAGAATAGGTTGCACAAAGCATATTTGCTCTTGAAATTTCACCAGCATATAATTGCCACCTCCAAGTTCAGATACACTCTTATCACTTACCTTTTATAATTGGACAGCATAGCGGAGACTGTCCGTGTAACAAAAAATAATTGACATGAAAGTATAATGTTCCATATCGCAGTCCAAAAAAGGGAGCAAAGGTGGTATAACAGTAAGAGTTTAATTATAAAAAGTATGGATTGTTAAATAAATTAAGAGAAACATGTTCCGTGCAGCCTATTATATCGTTATACAATTTAGTTAATAATATTACACGTAAATCTTTTGCTTTATATTAATTATTAGGGATAAACAAAAAACAACCTATTCCTAAAAGAAAAAGACAAATATAAAGATCAACCAAAGATTTATTTATTATAAAAGGATGCATAAAGCTAATAATAAAGTTGAAAATGAAACAGAGCAGAAAGAAAAGTCGAAAGAGAAAGAAAGAATTGGGTAAATTAAAAATGGAACAATGGGAATGATGTTTGGGATAATACAGGGAATCCTGCTAACGCCGAGTAAAATATATTCTTTATATGATCCAAACGCTTAATTACTTAACTTGGAAGGATGTCTTTCATTATCAGGTAGGTCATATGTAATCACTGGCAGAATAAACAAAATTTTTGCAACTTTATATTATAATCATGTGATACAATCAGTTTATCGTTTAATAATAAAGAATATATTTGAATTAAAAAAAAAAATTTTCTACCAGTAATACGTCGGACCTACCTGATAACAAGAACGTGTTTTACACATTACGTACCTTATATGCGGAATCAAAACGTACCTTTTCAGTATTAGTATTAGTAATAATAATAATAATATTATTATTATTATTATTATTATTATGTAAATTTACATTTTTCGCAAATCGTATAATATTAATATTTTAGTATTTTCCATTTTTAAATACACATTCCGTGTTTTCTGCAGCATTACACCATTGAATAGATTAATATTCATCAGGAACTGATGTTATTATATTATCTAAACACCTATCAACTTCATCCAAATGTGTGAGTTATTGCATTTTCATATTCTAAGCATTGCATAAAAAGTAATCCTTGCTGTCATGAGTTAGATTCATCATTAAATTTTGAGTATCTTGAGCCTCTAGTGAGATTTCATTTAATGAAATACTTTCAAGCAATACTCCTTTTTTTTACTTCTTCCTCATAAATTATTTATTTTTAGTATGAGTTTGAGAACTAAGGATGATGGATTTGGTGAAGATGTTTCTAGACTTAGAGTAAGACTACAAATATAACAATCATGTTTGTCATAATCTTTTAATTCTATGATTTTCCTGTTTAATAATATTCTCAAACCAAATAGTTAATTATTTTTAATTATGTCAAAATAATTTTTTGCCGCAAAAACATTTCATCAAGTATCATTTAATCATGACGTCATCAATTACTCATTTTTGGCATTATCATTCTATTTTATTTTATTTTATTGGATAAAATCATGTAAAAGGTCATGTTATTTGTAATACTTCAAGAAGTATAAATATGCTTGAAATCTCTCCTCCTATAAAAAGATTGTAATCATTAATTATTTTGGGAATGTGCAATAGTTTCCTTGTTGAATTACCAAAAACAC